GTCCCAGCTACTTGGGAGGCTGAGGCAAGAGGATCACTTAAGCCCAAGAGTTTGAGGTTACTGTGAGCTGTGACACCACACCTCAGAAAATGAGAGACTCTGTCTCAAAAAAAAAAAAAAGCACTGAAAATTTTCCTTAATTACAGACGTCCAGGCTGGTAAAGAGCCTGAGTGCTTGTGTTCCCCCTTCATATTTCCTCTCTCCTCCCTTCTCTTGCCACAGAAGCTTACGTGAGGCAACAGAGAGTGCCCATTAGTGCTGTGGTGATAAGAAAAGCGAAAATGGCTGCTGGAGGTAGAGTGCTCTTCATGAGATCCCACAAGTAATCCTTGAAGTCTTTCAGCCATGCCCAGTAGTTGCCTGCAGTAAGAGCATAGACATTCACTGAGGAGAGGTCAAGTAAGCGATGGAGTACGGTAAGGGCTAGATGTTGGGTCTTTTCTTTAGGAAATAGAGGACTAAGTGACTTGACCCCAAGGAAAGTGGAAGACAAAAATGTCTGCACTGTGGAATCAAGAGGGTTCACCACTCAGTAGCAAGGCACGTGAGCAGCATTTATGTGCCTGTTGGCAGCAGGATTATGGGAGCCCCTAAGATGTGGATCAGTAGATCAGGTTTATTTTAAATTTCAGCTCTTTTGTCAAGCCTTTCCTTACCCTTCCCCCCCAAACAATTTTAATTATCCCCTTGACTTCTGGGACCATAAATCATATTCCATGGAAATTTGGCTGCTATAGCTTTATCTGCCCTTTTATGAGCTCCTTGATAACAGGGGCTGTTCAAATCCTAATCTGCATAGTTCAGCAAAGGGCTTGGTACACAGTGGGTAGGTTAATGCTTGTTAAACCAACTTGAACCAAATTAGAATAGTTTGCTTTTATGTCAACATTTCTTTTCCTTTTTTATTTTTTGGAGACAGAGTCTCATTATGCTGCCCTCAGCACAGTGCTGTGGCATCACAGCTCACAGCAACCTCAAACTCTTAAGCTTAAGCAATTCTCTTGCCTCAGCTTTCCAAGTAGCTGGGACTATAGGAGCCTGCCACAACACCCAGCTATTTTTTGTTGCAGTTGTCATTGTTGTTTAGCTGGCCTGGGCTGGGCTCAAGCCTGCCAGCCTCAGCGTATGTGGCTGACGCTGTAACCACTGTGCTACGGATGCCAAGACTTTTAACATTTCTTTTAAACATAAAATCAGTGTTTTCGGACCTGAGACAGGAATCTCACGTCTTATGAAGATAGGACCATTCATTCTAACAGCAAACACACCCCTTGAACGTGATTTTGATCCTGCTTTTTCTTGTATTCCAAGAACAGATAAAGGTGAAGGTGAGGAAGCCACCGTCTCTAAGAAGAGGTAACTCAGACAACACAGCAGAAATGCAATGCACAGCAACTTGTGGGGTTCCATGGACTCCACCTTCAGCTATGGCTGAAGAGCTGGTCCTCCTAGATCACTCTGTCAAAGGGAGATTTCTTTGTCCTTACTTCTTTTCCTTGGCAGCTTTGTCTGAAAAGTTATAAAACGGTGGTTTAGTTGTTACACCAGAAAGTTTCTCACCTATTATGAACACAAGGATAACTCATTGACTTGTACAGGTGAGTCCTGAACATGGTCAGTTTCCAAAGCAAAAGGTAGCTGCCCCCTCCAAAAACCACAGTAAAATAAAACCTTACTATGCCCCCTCCTACACATCATCCCTTTTCAGTCTTACCCAACTCAATTAGTAGAAAGTCTTTCAGCTGTTTAGGCCAAGACATGTGGCATCATCTTTATGATTGACACCTGTATCTGCTTACCTCTGGATTGCTTGGTTTGAGAGAAATGAACACCTATATGAGCCATTATAATTTAGGCTTTCCTTATTTTTAAATTATTTTTATTTCCTTGTTTTTTTAAAATTTCCTTTCTTTTCTTTTTTCTGTTGTTGAGACAGAGGCCTACCCTAAGCTCTGAGCAGAGTGCAATGGTGTCATAGCTCACCGCAATCTCAGACTCAGGCTGTGGGCCTCCTGCTGCCTCAGCCTCTGGAAGCCACTGGGATTACAGGTGCTCACTATGGCGACCAGCTGGGTTTTTCATTTTTTTATGAGTTGGGGGTCTCATTCCCACTCAGGCAAATCTCAAACTCCTGAGCACAAGCAATTCTCACTTCTCAGCCTCCCATAGTGCTAGGATTACGGGCGTGAGCCACCGCTCCTGGCTAATTTGGGCTTTCTGTTGCTTAAGACATTTACAATTGATAAACTCATTTACTGTTGGACATCCATGTCTGGTAGGAAGCCACTTACCTGAAAATTGACTTAGCACTATGAACTCCAAGAAGCCAGTGAATTAGGCCTCTGTCTTCAGAAGAAGCTGGCCATAGTCTTACTCTTAGGTTGCTGAAGTTCCGAATAGAATTCCAGTCCTCTTTATGATCTCATCTACTACATTGACCCTCCCCCAGTCTCTATTAGACTGCTGAGTACCCAGATTTCTTTTTCTGTCTATGCATGAACATCTTTGTTGATGCTAAAACTCATT